CCACTGAATGAAATGAAATTTGAAGTGATGATAAGATGTTTATACTAATAATCTTACCTAATCAGAAGCTTTACAAGGGAAAACAAAGAACACCTGACATTGTCTTGGCATAAAAACGGCATAGAACAAGGATAAACTGATAAATAATAATTTCGATGTTCTTACCTCCCGGACATGAAAACGGCATCAAACTCGCCACGGCTGGCAGAGACTATTCGCTGTTTCAATCTTTTAAGCGACGGGAGGACCTCAAAAGCAGGAGGTTCTGAGGAGAAAGAATGTCGAAGATCGAAATAAATACAAATGTGTCAACATAAAAGAAACTCAAAAGATTCACGAAAGTCGATAATGCACGTTACAAAAATGGGATCGATCAGCAGTAACTCTAAAGTCGATATGCAAAGCAAGTCATGAATGTTCATACATCGCTTAAAGTAATCAGGTACGATATTATGTTCGGCAAACTCGGATGTTTTAAGGCATAGCATTATGTAATTTCACCTATCCAAATGAACTGAAGAACTAGCTTTCGAATGCTTGTTCGAGTGAACATTAAACGAACTCACGTACCCAAATCATTGATACACACATCTTGTGATATTCCATTCTTTGTGATTTTATCCAACAATGATAAAGGATCGACATCGCTCGTTCGATCCAACCGTAAGCGCTGAGGAATATAAACCAATCTTGATTATGCAATGGAAACAAGAACTAATTCTCCTTCTTTTTCTCACCATATACTACAATTTCCATTACCTTATAAACTTCTGCTGTAGAGCATGCTTCCTGGGGCTTTATGAGAACCATCGGAACGTCCAAGGGTACCGGAGGAGGAATATTCTGCACGAACTGTAAAAGAGAAAACATAAAAGTTTCTCAAATGCCAGCCAAGAACAGATCATTCATTTAGAAAGAGACACCACGAGCTCCGAGCTCCTTGGTTTTCAGAATTAGCATTGGCAATCGAACTATTCCAGGCGATGCACGCGGATAATGATAAACACGAGTACTCGTATATGGATAATAGCAAAAGAATCTTTGATTATGTCCACTGATTTATGGATTGAAACAGAAGACGCTCGTTCTATCAAATCCGACTCAAAATGCCAATTTCTAGAACTTATGGGTATCAATGCGAAAGAGAAATAATAGGCATTTCCAAATTCAACTGTATATTTCTTATTAACGCTTGTAGCTATCTAAACATATTGTTAGGACCACACAATAATGCACATACTTGATAAAGATGAACACAAGGAACATGAGTGTTAGGATCACACAACTACGCACACACTCGATCGAGATGAACACAAAGAACATTAGTGTGTTAGGATCGCACAATAACGCACACATTTGATCTAAATGACCACAAAGAACAGGAGAGAATAATGAGAAATATTGGATAAAGGTTTGTATTGATGACTTCGTATATGTACACTAATAGAGAATACAGAGAAGACAAAAAGTACATCTTCAAAACACTACCTAAGGGGTATATATATGGTTTCAGTTTACTTATATATAGTTTTACCAATCTTTATCAACTTTTTACTATCGTTTACTATATACGACCATTTTGCATATATAGTTTTACTGTATATAACAATTGAATAAGCTATAAATAAGCAGCAGACTTCATAACCCAACACATACCTCACCTCTCCCAGTGCAGAAGGCCGCCCCTTCCGAGAAAAAGAAGGGAATATCAGATCCTATCTCACTTGACCATTGTTGAAGATCCTTTTCAGTAGCAAGACATCCACTGAACTGATTGGCTGCCCACAGTGCAGTTGCAGCATTACTGCTTCCTCCACCAAGCCCTGCTCCAGTTGGTACCTTTTTGTCGAGATGGATCTGCTCGCACATAAAACCATAGTTCCAAACTTCACGATCGAGTATCGACGTTTTCCATTCATTCAGGTAGATTTTATGACATTCATTAAAGATATCTAATCATTTTGTAGATACTCACCCAGAAAAATTGGTCACAGCCAGTCTTTTTCCTGTAGAGGTTAAGAGCCTTGATAATCTGAAGATATATGGTAGAGAAATAAGTTATGGCAACAAAAAAAACTCAGAAGAAATAGAATAAGAGCATTGTTCGAGAACGACTACCAAATTTCTATCATCAAGGGGTACCCCCGATACATTGGTCGAAAGGCGATCCTTCTTCGATGGCGACAAAGAGAATTTAATTGTATCCCCTAAGCTTATCACCTAAAGACAGAAGAAAAAAACATCCAAAATTCAGCAGCTAAGAGAAATGGATGATACTCAAAGTTTCTTAACAACTCGATTCCTTCTAAAACGGTAAAGTCGAGTTTCGTATGACTTTTTGAATTATAAAAAGCGCTTTTAGCCAATAACATTGTCAAAAGAAATTTTGACAAAATACTCGAAACAAGCCCGACTATAGAACAGTTTATCAAACTCGCATCGACTTTAAAATCTCGGTACCGATTGTATCGAATAATAACATCAAATCCAAAAATCCCTATTACTTACGTGAAAGAGAGATGCCAAATCATGATATCCATCTTCCCTCTTCTTAGTTATTCTCAAGAAAACATTAATCTGCATCAACAAAACTCAACATAAGAGACAAACCCCACCATTTCAAAGCTTGACTTAAAGTAACACCATTATTACCTTGCAAGGTGAGAACAGGGTAAGCCTCGAAAGAGGAGCATCTCGGTCCACTTCGTCAGCTAACTTGTTTATCCTTTCATCAGCATCGTAAACAATCTATTTACGAACAACAACAAACTCACCATCACAGATTAAACCGATGAACAAACATAATCCCGAACTTTCTTTCTTTAACTTCGCTCTAATACCAACTCTAATGATCTAATGATCTGACTTTCTAGACTTAGACTGCCAAGAGATATTACTACATGCATGCTAGTGATGTTTGAAAATTCTCCAGAAAATATATAAACCACCAAATTTCCAACAGCAACCAACCAACAATCACAAATTAGACCGATGAACAAACATAATTTCAAAACAATGCCCCAAATTTTCAGGGGACATTGTGATAATATCAACCATGGGAAAGCTCTAATACCAAATGATAAGGAACCAACTCAAAAGAAAATTTTGATACCAAATGATAAGGAATCAACTTAGGGGAAGCTCTTATACCAAATGATAAGGAACCAACCCAAAGGAAAGTTTTAATACCGAATAATAAGGAATCACTACAGGGAAACTAAGATTCATATTACCTTGTTGATCGAATATCTCAAGACAAGAACACTTGTTTGAGATTCAAATCACTCACAAGCAAAATTGATCATGTTTAGAATCATTCAAGCTAGACATTATTGATCTTGCTTGTGGAGTGATTCGAATCTCAAACAAGTGTTCTTGCCTAGAAATATTCGAACAACAAGGTAATTCAAATCTTACTTCCCATGTAATGATTCATCATTTGGAATCAAAGTTTTCCGTTAGTTACTTATCATTTGGTATAAGAGCTTTTCCTTGGTTGATTCCTTATCACATAACCAAAATTTGTCTCTTAACCTTGCTCTGATACAACCTTTTAGACTTAGATTGCGTAAGGACGATGCTGCATGCTACTGGATCATAATTTAAACTCTTCATTTGAATCATAAACCATTAAATTTCCAACAATTCCAAAAGGAACAGACGAAATCATATTTATACCTCAACTTGTTGTTTAGAAGCGGTGGAATTACATCTAATGGCCTTCTGAATGAGTAGATTCTTCTGGTGTTTCGACCTCGACGCAAAATTAAATGAACCGCGAGGCCCAAATGAATCGACGGCGAAATTCTTTCTAGGCGAAACGGATGGAAATCGAAGCCGCGAACTAAAAGAGATATTACAGGAAGCCATTGATGACTGAGAAACTCTTCACTGGTACAGTCCCAGATGATCAAATAAGAGAAATCGAATAATTTCGAAGCGGATTAAGACGAAGATGAAGATTTATGCATTGTGGGCCGAGAGATTATTGTAAGAAATCTGTGAAAAACGTGAAAATCGCGTCCATGTCATTTCCCTTATATGAAAACTTTGGAGTGATGTTGGAATTTGGTAGATGGGCTTCCCATTTTGATTTCGACACCAAATTTCTCGCAAAGTTCTTCTGATTCTTTTCCATTTCGTGCAAATTTATTGGTTGAGCGATCAAGTGATGTGGTGAAAAATTTGAAGATTTGTTCATAAATTAAACCAATTTTTTTTTTTAGTTTTAAAATAAATTTCAAATTTTTTTATTAAAAAATAAACTAATAAAAATAGTTTTAAATTTTCTCATAAAAATACTTTTAAATTTTTAAAAATTTCAAGAATATTCTTAATATTTTTTTATTTAAAAAATATTTTTACCTCAGTTAATATTTTGTTTAAAAAATACACTTAAATTTTTAATATTATTTAAAATTCCTTAAATTTGTAATTTTGTTTCAAAAATATTTTTAAATTTTAAAAAGTTTTATTAATACTTTCTCTAACTAATATATATATATATATATATATATTTTACATTTAACTCTGAGGTCACTTACTAAGTATTTATTTAAATACTCAAAGTCATATGCTACTACATTTTTTAGGTTAAGGTAAGACATTCTTTGGTTGATGACAGCATCGCAACTCGAGATTATGGCATATACATAACAGTGGTATTTATTTTCTTAGATTCAGGCTAGAATAGAATATTTTTAACTTAAATGCTTATTTATTTTATTTAGTCTTCTGTTGGATCGTTCTAAAGATTTTTTTGAAACAGTGTTTTAAAATAAATGATATGTTTTATAAAATTTAAATGAAGTATTTCATATTTAATATTTAGAATATACTCAAAGTTTAGGATATATATATATAAAAATTAACGGTCATATTGTTAAATAATAATAATATTGGAAGTTGGAGAAAACTTTTAACTAGTTGACACGTGGCGTCGGGTGGAGAAACTAAGGGTCCCACGTTATCCCTTTTCAGTTCAGTGGGTCCTGTCAGCCTCAACCTTCGAAGCTCTTCAATCCCGGCCATGGCTTCTCCTTCTCGGCTACCTTCCAACTTTCTCCCGCCTCTTTCTCTTTTGTTTACTTTCTTCATACAATCGGTTCGAGTTTCTTCTCAACGATCGCTCCTCTTCTTCTCATTTTGAGGATTTCGATAATAATCGCCGGCCGGTCAGGTAGAAATGTCGATTACTTCCTGTCTTCGGCTTCCATTTCCCGCCGTTCAATCGGCAGGAAGAAGCCTCGATTTGTCCCAGCGGCATGTGTCTTGCCTGCGGTCTACTGTCGAGTCGCTTCGGCTGCGTCGTCACTCGCTTCTTCGTACTAGATTAAGAACTATTTCCACCAGCTTCTCGCGGAGGCCGGTAGAGTCTTCTGTGTCTGGACAAGAGAAAGAAATCGAGGAATCGGAAGAGTACGAATTGGAGAGGCTGTTCTCCAACCTTAATCAAGCTACATTCAAGCGAGAACCTGGTGATTTTCCGGTTCCTTCTGATTCTTTGATTCGCATTTTCATTGGGAGTTGAAAACTAATTATAACTTGTCTTTGATTCTTTTTGCCCTGGATTTCTGGTGCGGCAGGAAGTTTATCCAGCGCGATTTTCTTGGTGGCTGGGACTACTGTAAGCATTTCAACATTGCACGTTCTTTTCCTTCTTATAATTCATTTTGAAAAACATTTGACTAGAATTTGTTGTTCGCGCTCTGCTATATTTCATCAGAATTAGTTACAGTAGTCCAACATAGAGATAAATGGAATAAATCTTCCTCAATCGAGGGCCGAGGCTTTAGGCAAAGATGCAACTACAAATGTTTTCATATAAATTATAATTAGCCTGTGATATTACTCTGCAAATGAATGCCAACGACATTCACTCCTTCCTTCGAGGTTGGAAGTTCAAGTTCCTCTGCCTCATTTGTCGTACTCAAAATACTCTGTAAATGGACTAACTTTTTATGCACTGATAAAGATGAAGTAAGAGTTTGTAAATATATCATGGGTATTTCTCAGTAACGTTTTCCTTTAATGCGGGTCAAGTATTTTTTTTTTTTTAAATGGTAAAATATATGTTGGGCCTGTATACAGATTGGTGCTGGGATCCTCGCCATTCCTGCTGTAACTCAAGAATCCGGATTTCTAGCCTCAGCTATTACGTGCACATTTTGTTGGGCGTACATGGTAAGACTGTAGCAGCAGCTTGTAACTATATCTTATATATATGTTTATCAAAATTTGAACTCAATTTTATTATTATATTAGAGTTCAAATTTGCATAGAATGTAGTCACAGCATGTTTGTGCAGTTCTATCGCAGTTTTGCATTTTAAATCCATATTGTATTGCCTTTCCCAAGGTTTCTATAGATTTTTTAGTCTATTGCCCATCCTTATAAAATGACGCCATTTATTTGAAATTTCACTGTCTTGGATTTCCCACTTGGGCTCAAAGTATGAACTCTTTTGAAGTAAGAAGTCTGGTAATTTGCCTATAGTTTGTAGGTAGTTTCCTTTGTTCTATATCTCTTTAAAAATTCTCAAGCAACTCTAAATTGGTTGCCTGCATTACATTTTAATTCATAAAATCTTAGCAACTTTGCTGTACTGTAGTCTATAGGTACTGAAGAAAGATTCACTATAATTACTATACTAAGATATAATTCACGCAGTCAAAATCGACCGATCTGAAAATATTTAAGGAAATAGAAGTTAAGGAAGTTTTATAATTTACTGTATGCTATTAACCTTTTTCAGCGACTATAGAAAAATGGTATCATAAATCAAATTTCTGAACATACATCAGGCTCTAAAAGAATTCCCTGATGGAGAAAAAATAGAAGTAACTAAATGAATAAAAAATCTTTTTCAAACAATTTTCAAATTCGCTTTATAATGCTACCGTTCCCTATTTCTTGTTTCAAATTCATTATAAATATTGTTTCTCATTATTTTGAAATGTTTATGAAGTTGTTTACAAATTTTGAAACAATTTTTTTTTCTTGTCCTGTTTGATCAAGTTTTTGTTTTCCAAAATTAAGCTTGTTTACCACCTTATGTATTTTTTTTATTTTCAAATGAAACTTTCATTTGTTTAATTTAAGTACTTAGAGAATGGAATATTAGAAATGGTTATTAAACACATTTTTATTTTTAGAAAGAAGAGGGAACGCAAACAAACACAAGCAAAATACAAAAGAATCTGGAAACAAGAAGAAAACCTTACGAGGCACTTTGTTTCTAAAGTTCTATAAGAACCACTTCAACAACAGGATTTTTAAGCCCAAGATCAAAGGACAATGAGAACTAGGATAACTATGCTTACGCATTATATTGTTTCTAAATGTCAATTTCTCAGCCAGCACCACCACTATGATACCAACATAAAACTTTTGTCAAATGATACAGAGTTTATCCTGGACTGCTTTCTTTCATCCCATATTGTCGTCCTGAAATAATTAGTCAGTTACTTAATGGAACCATGCAGGTTGTGACAGGACTCCTAATTGCTGAAGTCAATGTGAACACCATGTGTGAACTGGGTTCTGGTGGCGTGTCTCTGGTAAGGTCTTTTATAAAGTTTTAGGGTGAAATGAATATTAATTTTTCAAAGGATAAATACATAGTCGAATGCGCATTCCACTTGAGCATTGGGACAAGATATACTAATAAGGATATTTGAACAAGTAATATAAACTCGTCAGTTCATTGTCAAAAGTTTTGAGATTTGTTCCCTTGTTGTGAGATTGAATCATTAATCAAAGTTCTGATAGGAATTCATCTTCAATTATAAAGTCGTTATCTGTTCTTCATCCCTTAGCAGAAAGTGAAGTACTGTTCTTTATTATTATTTTGCGAAGGTGTGCTGTTCTTCGTTGTTCTCCAACCATGCAAACTAAATCACAGCAAACCTACAGAAAAATGAACATGCTAAAGTTAAAATTAAGAAAAGTGAGTTCAAGAAATTGTAATGTGGAACTCATGTTGAATTTTGAATGACTTTGCATTCAATTTCTTTACTGGAAAGAAGAGGGAAGGAAAACATTAAACTTTAATGCATGAACTATAAAAGGAGAAACCTGATGAAAAATTTGACAATGTAATTCCCATTCTCAAGTTTTCCAAGTTCTTATTTTTGCTTGTGTGAGGGTTAATTTGTTCCCGACCACTGAAATTTATATTTTCCTATTGCAGTATTTTTTGTATGTAATAAGCCTCGAGATATGAGAGCTTAAACTATAATGTTTCAGGTATCGATGGCCATGAGAACTCTTGGGACAGTTGGAGTTCAAGTTTCTTGGTAGGTTGAGATGTAATTGTTTTAAGCTCTACTTAATGTCTATCTGTTGCCAAGTATTGAATTTTGAAATGTTCTTACAGAGACAAAATGTTGCAAGCATCTCTGTCAAATTTTAAGTATCATTATCTACTTGATACCTAACAGCTGATGGTGATCATATTATTGTTCAATTTGTCATTTTTATTGGGCAACTAAAAGTTTGGCATGGAGCTTTTACCTTCAAAACTAATGAGCCCAATAAACTTGACAGAGTTATTCATTTTATTATATATAGTTATGGATGGATAAAAGTGAGGTTGTATTAGAGACTTAGAACAAGGACATAACGCTAAACATGAAAATAAATAATGTAGAAAGACCAATTATGAAAGGCAGCCATATATGTGGTGAGCTATGTCAATGTTCCTTATTCATCTTTTGACGATCGTATGGAAATGATAGAGGGTTAAACAAAATTAAGCACGTAGCTGCTTGTGGAATGATGTGATAAACCATTGATCACTGATTCTTAATCTGTTTATTTATTATTATGGCTTCCTTCATTTTTCTCCCATCCATGTCTGTCAATTCTGACAATAATATTTTGCAACTTGCAGCTGGTCATACATTCTCATTCACTACGCCCTTCTGATTGCTTATGTCGCTCGTTCTTCCGATATCTTGACCACTTTTCTCGGCATTCCCTTGTATGAACAAGGAGTCCAACCATCGTTAACCCCTAGTATTAGAACTTATTTCCAATCTTTGCAATCATACAAAGAAAATGTTCATTTTTGGTGTTTATGCAGTATTGTAATTGCAGATGGGAGAGTGCAACCCTGTTCTCTTTGATATTTGGAGGCATATGCTACTTTGGAAGGTACGTGCTTCATCTCTACCTGTACTTAAACATATTATCCTATGGAGATTGAGGTTTTCTTTTAAATGATTTATCTCGGGCCTTAATACTAACGGCAAGAGACAAACTTTTCATCTGGCTATGCTCTTCTCCCTAATTCGTGTGTCCACTGCCAAAAATACACTGAAGATATCACTTATTTTTTCTTGGACTGTCCTTTGCCCGCTCATCTTATGTGAAAATATTTTCAGATCTTTGGAGGACAGTGCAAAGATCCCTTCTTTGTTCTTCGTAATGGTTTTACTTTCAAAAACTTAATAAAAAAAGCTATGGCATTAGGGTTGTCTTTTTTAAATATTTCGTTCTGAATTAGAGATTAAGCGAATATGATTGTAAGAGTTCTGGAGTGATTTGGACCATGTTGAATTTGCTTTCTCCCATGTTTTAAAGAGCTTTATAATTATCCCCCTTCTTTGATCATTTTCATTGCGTAAGTTTTTTGTATCTCAACGGGAAATTTATTATTTAAAAAAAAAAAAAAATCCATTCCCAGGAAACTTCGGTCGTGTGTATTGTATCCTATGGAATAAGAAAGGAAGAAAAAACCTCTGCACCTAGAATCAATCACTTCAAGGAATCTGTTCTGAGTATTCATTTAACTTCATATATGTGCGTTTACACATATAAATACATATAATTGCAGCCAACTCTGCTCGGAATTGACTACAAAGATGTCTTCAATTGCAGCCAACGTTCTATTGGTGCTATCAATGGGGCCCTAGTAATCGGAATCATCATTTCCTTTGTAGGTCTTGTGGTAATATGTTCACTTCACTTCTGGAACTACATGCTTTGATTTGGGTTATAACCAGGATTGCTAGTTGTTAGGGGTTGAGTGATCACATGCTGTGTTTGGTCTGGATACTTGAGTTAATGTAGTAGTTGATCAAATTTTCTTGAATATTCACTGATAATGTTGAGGCCGAGAGCATAATTTAGTGGAAAACCCCCATTGACGAGGAACTTCATTTGACATCTATTGTTTGAAAAATTTCTGCAGATATATAGTTGAAATAAAGTGCAGTTCTCTTGCACAACTTATGAACGATTTTATTTTCGCACTATTAATTTGGAAGAGCATTGCATTTTACTGCTCTGAATTTATTACATAGGTCCATTTCTATCAGTTTTTTTATCATTTTACTTGTGCTAGGGATATCATGAATGATGTTCCATTAAAACACGTGTCTATTCTTGTACCAAACAAATTTCTCGCTTGATTATCTGGCCATGGAAATGTACTTTCGTCAATTATACTTACTGCTAGATAGATGCACCAATATCAAATTTTTTTTTTAGGCAGTCGCGAGTGGAGGCCTACATTGGGATGCTCTCCTTAAAGCTAATTTCGAAGCTGTTCCTATGAGTATACCTATAATTGCCCTTTCATTTGTTTACCAGGTAAATTCCCGCCCTGCTATATCCAAAGTTGTTCTGTGAATGTGATAAGATTTTATGTTATATGTAATTCACTTTGCAGAATGTGGTGCCAGTACTCTGTACAAATCTGGAAGGAAATCTGGCAAAAGTAAGGTAACATTTATTTCCTTTAAACAGTAAACTGAGTACATAAACTATGGAACTACCTCGAATCATTTCTTTTATTTGCTTGACTTGTCTAGAAGAAAAGGCTTAATAGAATTTGAAATTACTTCGGTTCTCATCTGGTTCTCCGACTTATAATATTAATTTTACATTAGCATGGATGCATTAAAACTACATATATACAGTTGCATACATCGCACATCTTTCACTTGACCTCCACAGAACGGCTAAAGTACCCATGTTCGTTGTTTCAGCTCGTGATATGCTCATCCAATCCCATTTTATCTGAATTCCATAATCAGTTGCATTTTGATCAAGTGTTTGTACACTTCAGTCAGTCATCTTTAAAACAATCAATAGTTGTCTACATCATTGACTGATAATATTTCAGGACATCCATTGTCATTGGCACTGCGATACCTCTGGTTCTATTTCTCGTCTGGAATGGTGTCATCCTAGGGACTATTTCAAACCTTGATATGGGATCAGATAAGATATTAGACCCATTACAGCAATTGAGATCAACGAATGGAGATGTAGGAGTAAGTTTCTGGACATTTCAGTTTATGTACACTACCAACTTTCACGGATGACTTATTTAAAACAACTATTTTTTTAATGCAGCCTATAGTGGAAGTATTTTCTCTTTTGGCGATCGCAACATCCTACATTGGATTTGTTTTAGGATTGTCTGATTTTCTTGCTGACTGTAAGTGACTTCTCTCGTCAATTTTATTGAATTAAAACTGCATTTGCCCGATTGTTTCAGTCCCAACAATTTTAGGGATAATGATCATAGATTAATTCTGTGTAGTCCCGTGAAAAACACAAGTCAGGTAACAAAGACTACAAATACAAGTAAATGTAGGAACAACAGACCGAATTTATGTGGAAAACCCATCAACGTTGAGGGAGGGGAAAGCAACGGGACAATCTCTGAAAATCTTCCACTATTAAATAATAAAATTACAATAAATTCTTTATTTGTTTAGAGGAAATCACGATAATATTCTAAAGAAAATACATCTACTTTGGTTAACAAAAAATAGGTTTGGAACCACAACCCTCCATAATGGTATGATATTGTCCACTTTGATCTAAGTTCTCATGACTTTGCTTTTGGTTTTTCCAAAAGGCCTCATACCAATAGAGATGTATTCCTTACTTGTAGACCCATGATCAACCCCTTAATTAGTCGACGTAGGACTCATCTCCTAACTATCCTCGACAAAACACCCTTTACGTATATGAAATGCATTCTTGAGAAATAAAGAATGATGCATTCTTGAGAAATAAAGAATGATGCATTCTTGAGAAATAAAGAATGATCTCACCAACATAGACAGACGAGAAAAAATTATTTGTTTCACAACCGTGGGTGGATTTTAATCGCTTGCGGAAAGCCTCTTTCTTTCAAGATGTTTTGTGGGCTGAACTTTATTCTTCCTTTTCCCTCAAGAGTTCTCCAGTGTCTCTCTGTATTTTCCTTATCTATTTTGGTTGCCTTACACCACACCTCATCTTCTCAAAGAAGTTTCCACTTAGGAATGCTCATTCTGTTGCTCCTTTTTCCATTTTCTACATTCAACTTTCTTGTGGCCCATCATTTTGCAACAGTAGATTGATTTTCTCTAGTGGTTTTGCTTGCTGATTGGCCACGATTACAATGAACCCTTATTTCGTTGCTGATTTCTCCCTCGATTTTTGTGACCAAAACATCGGACTCTATAGCTAAAGAACCCAATGCTATCCTCATTGCTTCTTCATTTCACAGCCTACTTTTAACCATATCTATACTCAACGTTTCACTAGGAGAGTTATTATTTAACAATTCTACTAACTTTACCCAATTGTCAGGCAAAGAAGTAGTAATGCCTGCAACTCATCAGCTTAAACTATCCGCATTGATGAAAGTTGATACATTATGCCTTCCATCTCACTCAAATGACTGCTAATTGAAGTACCTTCCGTATTCTAGGTTGGTAAGCTTTCTTACCTAGAAAAAAGTTTATTCTCATTCGTTTTTCTCTCATGCAACTCTTTTAATTTCTTCCACAAGCAATATGCTGATGTCTCATTTGAGACGTGGTACAAGCTGTCATCTACCCAAATATACCCAATAACTTGTCTATTCAATGAGTCCCAGTTTTCTTTTCTCATATTTTCTGGTTTGCTTGACTCACCCAGAATAGGAACAACATCTCGTTACAGTAAAGATCTTTCATTCTTCTTTTCCCTAACTACCAATTTGATCCATTCAAACTGACCATCCTACTCGTGTCAAACTCCACGAATTTTCCTACTCCAAGCAGAAATGACAACATCCCTTTGACCTGACAAAGTGATTCCACCAACTTGCATTGGTACCACCTCTTGGGGTTGAGAAGTCACGTTCTTAGTAGGTTGACTAATATCAGTTTGATGGGAAAATATTACTTTAAACCAACATTAAGGACTAAATTTTAAGATTTATAGATTTATTGAAAATACAGTCTAAATTTACGCGTTTGATAGTACATTGACTAAAAATAGAACGAGAAGTATAGGGACTAAAATAATCTTTTACCATATATTTTATTCAAATGTAAACTAAAACCAGATTTTCCCCCTTTTTATTTACACGAGAGTGATTTATTGAACTTTCTATTTTGAAAAAAAGTAATAAATGCTTTGCCCGGATGGTCTAAAAGCTCAAACCAGTTTCTTTTGAGTTCATATTTTGATGACATTATTATGGATAATATCATTACTGAGCCCCATTCTGAATCTGGTAGGGTTTTGATTTCTTGTGTTATGGATAGTGGCCCCACATTTCTGCTTGACATAATAAATCCTTCGAATATATTGAGATTGCTAATATTTTTTACTTTTTGCTGCAAAACCAGTGCTAAAACTACCAAGTGGGGAGAACAGACCTTTGCCATTCATTTTGACATTAGTTCCACCGCTCATCTTATCATTGATTGACCCTGAAATATTTTTCAAATCACTGGACGTGGCTGGAACATATGGGGGTGAATACTGACGACACTCTCTATATATATATATCTTCTTGTTCTTCTTCCCATAGCTTTATTTTTCTTCATCAACCTAAAGAAACCAAGATTGTTCAATGATATTCCTTCCCATTTCTTGTCTAGTGTTGCTGCTTTTTGGAATTATTCCAGCTGCAATGTCGTGGTCGGACCGGTATTCAAGATCTCCCCCGTCCGTGAAACTACCAATGGTGGTTCCCGGAGGAAGGTTCACTCTCTCACTCGTGATCGGAGGCGCTGGATGGGTAATTTTCTCAGAACTATTGGAGAACTTTGGACATCTATGAACTTGGGAAGGTTATGCTGCCACTTTCAAACCTTTCTTTTTGATAATCCAACAAAAATGTTGAACTTCACAGCTCTTTAATCAGCCATAAATAATTCAGTTCACTCTTGAACTAGACGTTTACTCATAAATAATTAGACATAACAGAATAATGATTACATTCAAATAAACTCTTTTGTTCCAAATAGGTCACTTTCAATTGGACTTTTATTTATTTTAATAAAAAAAATATTGAGAACACTTGAAAATGTGAAGCTCAATCATTAATTAGAAATTAATTAATGGCAATTATTACATTAAATAATATTAATAATAAAGAAAAATTCCATTCCATTGACTTTCTCCTAACATGCGTTTTCTGTTATAAGATTACTTTGTGGAGAAGGAAAAATATAAGCCAGGTTATGTACACTATGATCGATTAATCTCTTGAACAATTATACACGAGCATGACTCAAGTTTTGTAGGACCATTGATCGTGGTTTAGAAGGAAAAAAGAGATGTTGTTTATGGATCCATTACATATTTTTTTTAAATTATGCGTCACTTCAGGATTAATTGAGAAGAGCACATTTCTCTAATGAATTTCCTCGTAACTTCTATAGCAAATGGATTATACTAAATTAACATGGATTGACATTTACTCTATTTTTGAGGTCGAGATTCAAATCTCGAAACTCCACCTTTGTTGTATTAAAAAACATAGAACAATTTTGGATTAATAACGTTTAATTACCAATAAAATAAACTTAGGTACAAGTAGTAGCTTTACTTATTCGTAATAAGGATTTATAAGATGGATATGTCTTGATGAAAGATACATATATTTTTTCAATTGCCTCATAACAACAACTATTGATGATAAATATCCACTCCATAGCTTACAGAATTTATTAAATTCAAGACACTATACATAGAAAGAAAGCAAAGGGATTATGCTCCATTTGTCTCAAATGTAAGTAGTCTTTGATGTTATTAAACATTCCACGCATCAGCTGTATCTAGGTTCCTCCATCACGACATTAAGACCCTAAATTTCAGAAAAAACATCATTAGATTTGTAGTGTTCAACCACATGGATCCATGTAATTGTCCAAAAGTTTGAACTACTAAGTATGGTGCATGCAAAGCAAAGATTTCAAATGAAAAACTCAGTTTTGAAGCCTTAAGAGTTCGAAAAGTGGCATACCATCACGCTACAATACTCTATGCTTTGACCTAAACGTTATTGTCAGTAGATATCATATTGATGTTCAATGTGAGTGTCGGTACTTATTCAGTCAGTATTATAGATTATGAAATTCTAGCATTAAAACAACTTTTAGATGTACCCAATACAACGTAAAGTACATTAACTTCACAAAAAATTATTTTCTCACATGTTCAATGTGGTGAAGAGAATCAAAATGATACGACTCTAAGGTGTTATGAATTACGACTCTCCACAATGGTATGATATTATCTACTTTGAGCATAAGCTCTCATGACTTTACTTTGGACTTCTCCAAAAGGCTTCATACTAATGGAGATAGTATTCCTCACTTATAAACCCATGATCTTCCACTAAATTAACCAAGGCGGGACTCACTCCAAATAATCCTCAACATATTACATTGAATTATATGTGACAATAAAACTAGGATATAACTTGCAATGAGATATCACTTGAACCTTTGGGCACTAAACAATTGCCTAACTTCCTCCTTTCGCACGCCCTCTATTTATAACCAAATACCACAACAAACTCCCTATCTAATTGCCAAGATACTCTAATGATATCCTTAACTTCCTTGTAGTGGCATCCCTATTCTAAAAGTAGAGCATTAGAAGATTTCAAACGAACTATTTGCTTCACCAGGACAAGATCCTCATTAATTATGAAATCCTACTTAACTGCACCTACAATGAGGATTCCTTGTTTAGCTGCTCATCCATGTTTTTGCACCAAGTTCCTAACAACCTTCTGCCAAAGTAGTAATTGCCATTGACAGAGTATTGGCCATCCAAGCTCTAATATGGTCTTTTGCAATCTTGAATGAGAAACACTAAACCCTTCTTTGTTTCTAAAAAATCAAGCTTACAAATACTACTCTCATAACTCATTCATGTTTTTATGCTCTTTCAAAAGAAGAAAATTATTAGAGAAGTTCTTTGGCTAAGAATTCAAATGTGTTTCTAAAAATCATGAAAACATACCAAAAAAATGGTGAGAAAACAAGTTAAACTTTTAAAAACAGAACTTAAAACGAAATTGTAATCGATCATGAATCAGACAGTTCTCACACGCATTAAAATGGAGTATAGATGCCTAATATTTACATTTTGGAGTATCATGATAATGGAGAAACAAGAGTTCAAGTGATTACCAAGCAAACTAAGCAGAGGAGCCCACAGACCCATCCCCAACAAGCTTGAACTCTTGAAGCTGCTTAAAATTTTCCCACACCTTGACCCAGATCTTGGCTTCATAAACCTTCTTCTGACCGCCATCGCTAGCTTCAAGAGTTATATGATACATTGTGCCGGAAACTACCTGCTCCTTCACTTTCACAACTTTGCTAAATTCCAGAAGCGCATTCTACATGTAGAAATGTTTTCAATCAGAACTTCAAAATAAAGAAAACGAATCACCCCGTGGTTTTCACCACACCAGTAGAAGAACAACTGGAAAATCCATCACCTCCTATTACCAGACAATTTATATAAAAATTAAATTTCGTGGAAGACACGAATTACAAAAGAAAACCTAAACGTAAATCACGATCCCTATTCCGATCCATTTTTCTCTCTTTTCACAAACAATCATAGACAATCGATACAAATATACATAAGAACACAAAAACGATGGTAAAACAGAAGAGATAAACGCATGAAACAACATACAAAACCTCAAGGGAAAATGAAAACCATTACCTCTTTCTTGTTATGTTCGTTAACAGCGAAACGAGCAAGTTCATCAGCCTCAACGCTGTTCTGGTTTGCAGGAACTTCCTTGATACCTCCAAGAAGCGCCATTACGATCTCTTCGATTCAGTCAAGAGATAGAGAAATTGAATGATGAATTGATTGATCCAGTTCTTGCCTCAAACACTTCAATCTTATATAGCCGGTTGAAAACGAGGAGGATTGATTGGTCTGCAGACTCGTCATGGAGCGTGTGGGACACGCTCGCCTTTTTCTTTTCATTAATTATTGTTATTCGTTTCTTCGTCTTTCGTTTACTTTAATAAAATCAACCACCAATAAAAATTAAAAACATAAAAAAATTAATTAAAAATTAAAAATATAAAAAAATTAATTAAAAATTAAAAACTAAGTGCCCATCCTCATGTTTTATTTATTTATTATTTTTAATAAATCCTGCCGACATGCCATAACAGGTCAAACTATTATTTATTATTATTATTATTATAAAAATATTAAATCAACTACCATCCTCGTCGTGTTCACATAGCTCGATAATTCAACTAACCTGAACTACTTAACTCAAACCATCTTAAGTTGGGTTCGGTTCTATTTTTTCGATTTGAACTCGATTTAATATTTGAAAAGCTAAAAGTTCGGTTCCGTCTGCGGTTTGAATTGTGTTTAATTCTTTAATGTTTTTAACTGGTGTTTTGTGACTTGTAAATGCTTGATATTAGTAATGCAACATGTATGACGGATAAGTATAATTTTTAAAAATTATAAAAAAAAAAAAGAACACTCGACGGCCCAACTCAATTTGAAAATAGAGAGTTGGGTTGGATTGTGAACTTCATTCGGGTGCTCTGGTCACCAACCTGTAAACTTTTATTGGTTCAAAAAAAAAAATTTCAGCTCAACCCGTATACAGAGGGGAATTGAACCACCTTTTTGCGATGATATAATACTTTAATCATATGAATTAATTTAGCGACATATCCAAAACGTCACTTTCGGGCCCAAGATCAATTGAGCTATATTTGCGTTACCTCCAAATATTTGAATATAGTATTTATAGAGATTAATTTTTATTTTTATTAAAAGATATTTAAAATATGACAACTAAAATATATTAAGTTTCAAAATATGGATATCCCAAACAAAATTTAATTAAACAAAATCCATTAATGTTTTTTAATAAATAAATAAAAATAATTAATATAAACATTTACAATAATACCATTCAACTAAAAAAAAAAAAAAAAAAATTCAACATAATTAAATAGTTCGAAAATATTTTTATCGTTGTATCACATTAAAAAAAAAATGTGAACATTTTAAAGCATAACATCGTTAACTTTTATAAATAATTTTTTAAAAAATTATTATCGTAAATATATGGACGGAAAATTGTCTATCTACCCATAATAGATCATATTCCTCTTTAGTTTCAAGGATATTAACGTTGAAGACCTTCAAAAAAAAATTTATAGATATTTTAAAAACACCGTACTAGCGGTTTAATTTATATACTAGCGATTTTCGTATTATAATAATGATAATCGTAATTTTTGGAACTTTCTAAAAAAGTTTGAAGTTATTTCTTTGTTTTTTAAAAAATTTAAGAATATTAATTAATTAATTAATATATATATTTTTTTAAGTTTGAAACATATTTCTTCCAAACTTTTTTTTTTTTTTTGAAATATTTATATTTTTCAAATATTCATTTTCTTAAAAATTTAAAAGTATTTTAAAACTTTTTGTAAAGGGTATTATCGATATTTCATAAATATTTTTGAAAAAAAAAATGCAAAATTGACAAGTAATTTTATAAATTTGTTTTAATTTAGCTTTATTTATTTATTTATTTTAATTCCTCCCATTCGACTAACGTTATTATTATTATTTTGCGAAATTAGAAAATAAAAAAAAAATTAAAATTAAAAACAAAACACCAAAGAAGAAGAAGAAGAATTCGCATTGTCGAGCGCAGGCGAATTTTTGACCGAAGCTGAAAAACTCCCCGCGCGCAGCACTTCACCTCTCCATCTTCTTCCATGGATTTTCAGGTGGTGGTCTTAGCCGGCGGCACTTCGAAGAATCTCGTTCCTATTGTTTCCAAGGTTTCAATTCCTTATCATTTATTCATCTCAAATTTCCCTTCTGTACTTCGAATTTGGTATTCTTCTCATGCTTCTCTTTGATTTTGTTTTTCTTATAAGACTGGTGTTTTCACTTATAGGAGCTTCCCAAGGCATTACTGCCGGTGGCGAATCGTCCGGTCCTCTCGTACGTTTTGGAGCTCTTAGAACTCAGTAACCTTAAGGATCTCATTGTTGTATGGTTCCTTTTATTACTCAGATTGTATTCTTGCATCATCCAATGTCGTTTATAGGGTTTTTGATTTTTTCTGTGTTTTTATGTGTGTACAGGTCGCTGAAGGTGAAGATGTGGCTCTTCATATTGGAAGTTGGATATCAGGGGCTTATGATGGTCGTCTACGTGTAGAGGTACTGAGCTGCTTTTTTTTTACTGCTTGGCTATGGATATGAGTGAGTGTTCTGTACGATCGAATTGCCTTTTGCCCCCTTCTGCCAAACGCAGGGGAGAATTAGGGCGTGCCCACTTCTTATCATGAAAAAACTAGGGACAATTTGCCAATGCCCATCCTTCTAACCTACTTTGTGCCTCCTATGTGACTTTGGGACTAGGAGTAATATTAGGAATATTCACTTTGTGTTACCCATTGACTACGCCTTTTGGCTTGATTTTAGGTCTTGACATACCTTTGGACTAGTTGTGCAGGAACCCGTGGGCTTTCGGGACATAGGATCCAGGATTCGATGACTGAATAAAAGATGATTACATCAATATTTATATATAGGTTGGTAGGACTTAGCAAAGAATCTTCGGAGTTTATTAAAATTCAAAACTAAAATTTACGCATTAATCATAATATTCATCTCTAGAAAGATAAAAATGTAGTTGAGAAAAGACAACTGTTCAATGAGTGGGCTTATCTTTTGAATTTTAATTTAATGTTAAAGAAAAATATTGTTCCCACATATAATATTGGAAATCGAAGTTTAAGTTTCTTTATTGCTGGCAATTTGATATCCTACTTCACTGGGAAAGGGGTATTTCATGGGCGTAATTTTTGAACCTTGGAAAAATTAACCATCAGAATTACTAAAAAAAGAAGAAGAAAAAGAAAAAAAAGAAAGAAGAAAAGAAAAGAAAAAGAAAGAACCGGAAGGAAAATGAACAAGTTGGAAATTCGGGGTTGGTCTGCTTTGTTGTGTGCTTTGATTCTTGTGGAGGTTGTGTTGGCATAATTCTTGAACTCGAGACCTTTTGATGGATTTTACTCGCTCATCCTTTCTGATGTCCTCACAATCGAGGTCTAAAATCACACTGTTTAGAATTTAAAAGCATTGAAGAATGCAGTCCTTTGTGTCATTCTTGACGCTTAGTAGCCTAAACACCATCCACTAGATCAAACAATCACCCTCTTCCATAGACCAGTATATGTGTATATTTTGGCCTCTTATTCTCTCCTCTCTCCTTTTCCTTCCTTCTTTTCTCCATCCATAGCCTTCATCCATCTTAGTGTTCATCCATTTTAGCCTTCTTATCAGTCAGAATTCGAGTTTTGAGGAAATCATAGCTGACCTTATGCAATATCCATTAACATCACATTCTTTAGGCATGCCAAGGGTGAGCTTGGAATTTACCAGTTATGTAAGAAGATGAATCATTTTATTTGGATTCTCAAATGTTTTGCTGTAAAACCTTCTGGCTATAGATCAGTAGTTATGGTTCTAGTTGATATCAATAAAAGGGACCAATTGGTTTTCTGGGAAATGATTTGTGATGCTTTGTGAAACCATTTGGGTGAGTGTAATGGTCAGAATGAAGTTTCACATGCTGAGATGGTTAAAAGGAGAACCATATTGTTGTTGTAAAATGATTTTTGCCTTATTCTACATCTCTAGATCTTTCCATTCAGTGTCAATGGATCAAAAAGGAAAAGATTCTAGAATTTGGGTTAGAAAAGCAAAATAAGTAATCTTTACAAAATCTATAAATTTAATTGTGGTTTTCCAGTTGTTTGTTCATTATAAATGGAAGGATGTTAAGGAAATATTAGAAAAGCATCTTCAAGGGATGTTGGTCATCAACCTATTTATGGCCGATGAGGCATTATTGAAAGTGGAAGAAAGTGTTATACAAAAGTGTTTGATGGAAAATGGAGAAGTTTTGGGAACTTGCATCTGAAAATTGAAAAATCGTTGGAGAAAAGCACTCTCATCTAGAGTTTATTGAAAGTTGTGGAGGATGGATCAATCACAAACTTACCTTTGCCATGTTGGGAACAAAGGACGTTTGAAGCAATTTGTCAGTAGCTTGGGGTCTTGTTGATATTAACTCCAAAACCTTAAATTTGATTGATTGCACCAATGCTCGTATTGAGGTAAAGAAAAACATAAGTAGTTTCATTTCAGCATCTATTGTCATCACAGATTGAAAAAGAGGAGATTTTGTCCTTCGTTTTGGTGATAGTTCTTCGTTAGAGTCTTCTTCTTTCATCAATCGTAACGTATCCGTTTATGACCTTTTAAATTCTATGGACTTCAAAAAGATGAAACAAGCTTTGGAAGGTGAAGCTGTCACCTCTATGACCGAGAAAGGGTTTTTAAACTCACTATGCTTGGAGTAGTTGAGACTTCTGAGAATAATATTAATGTCCTAGTCGGGTCAGAAAACATCGTTTTTGAAGTTTCAAGGAAGGTTGTTGATCAATAGTTGCATGTCAAGGAGACATTCAATGCTTTATAGAATGAGAAATTAAAAACTTGATGTTGCATTTAATGTCCGAAGTATGCAAGAGTTGTATTCGTCTCGCTTTGTTGATGGCCCACACAAACTAATTCAATCTAATCAATATCTCCATGTTCAAATGGTATTAGACGAGGACGGTACCTCGTCCAAGAAATGGAGAGGCAGAACTCGAGGAATTCCATTATGCCTTTGAAAATTTAGAAAATTTGAGCATAAAAAAAAAAGTAAAGAATTGTTTTATAGCAACTTATTCAAAATATTACACAAGAAAAAATCCCTCTGCCTCTTTGAATTCTATAGCCCCTACTTCATCTACACTCAATGATGATGTAATTGAAGAACC